TTCCTGTTTGAAAAAATATATAACATTAATTAAAATTTAAGATATGAGTAAAACCTAGCAGGATAATACCAAGTGGCGAAAATAGCACTTCACAAGCATGAGGGCCCTTACTGCATTATGAAAATTAACTTCAAGCTTCCAGCTGTTAACTTTCCTCTAAGGAAGTACACTCTTAAACAACAAAAACCACAAAACAAACAAAAAAACCCCAACCACACCCAAAAAAGCCCACTTCAATAAAACTGCAACATTTTTACATATTTAGGCACTTTGAATCACAGCATAATAAACTCTTGCAGTACTGTGGAGCACAAAAGTCAAAGGATACATTTAGCAAACGGCTTTCATAATAATAATAGTAATAATGCACTTGGGTAAGTAGTATTGCCTGCTACAGTTTACATCACAAAAAAATCAGGCGTGCTGTGAACTACAATCTGTGGTTTTTGTTTGTCTGGTCTTTCCAGTTTGTTTTGGGGTTCGTGGGGTTTGTTTTGGTTTTGGGGGAGGGTGTTTGTTTGTTTGCCTGTTTAAAGAAAGCACACGGACAATGTACTAGCTCACAGTGCACTAAACGCCACTGAAGTTTCAGATCCTAACTCTACAAGATGCTTCATGACAGCAATCCTCTACAGGTGTCACACCAAGTCTTTTTATCTGATCAGTTATCTTCAAACAGAACTCATTGAGGCAAACGTTCTCACGTGATCATTTAACTTTGGTTATCCATTAAAAATTTGTGCAACCTATGCATACAGTGACTTCTGCAGCCTGAATAGTACATGACAGTTAAAATCCTGCAGAGAGTTATAGTACTTTCCTATTTGTCATACAGAAATAGTAATTTTCCATATCCCCAGAGAGCAACTATTCAAAAAACAGATAGTAAGCTGTAAGGCATACGTAGGTTTACCATTACATTCTTATGTATGAAAGGATTCACAACCGATGGAGGATTACTGTGTCTAATTAAAAAAAAAAAAAAAAAAAAAGGTACCCTATTTATGGAATTAGCCTAAATATTAGAGGAATGCTTTTAGGCCAGAAAAGTTGTAATTTAGCTTAAATTAACAACCCGAACTGGCTACATTTTAAGAAGACAAAGAGAGCATCCGCAAACCCAAAGTACAGAACAGATGAAAGCAGCAACTAATTCAATATAAGTAACTAACTTAGGGAAACTGTAACATTATATCCTTAAAGATTTTGAAGGTTCTGTGAAGAGAATTACAAAATTTGCATGCTCTTATAATACCAAGAGAGTGGACTTTCAGAGTTGCTACTGAAGGTTTACTAAGAAATGCGTTCCTTGAGTTTTACAGTTTTTAATGGAACAGAGACATGGAGAAGGCAGTGAGAACCAAAGGCACGAGTACTTCAGAAAAACTTCTTCTGAAACACATCGTTATGGCACACTAGAAAGAAAGAGGTTATTGCTTTACAACTTACAAAGCTGAACACAGAACACCTGAAATATTACATGCGTTAACCAAGAACTTAAAATACCTACCTTATCTCTGATTTTCATATCCAGATTCTTAAAATATTCTTCAGTTTCTTGGATTTTTTTTGTCGCTGGGGACTGCATTTCTTTCAGATTCTTCAGTTCTTCCTTGGCTTGGTCTCGGCTTTGTTTCACTTCCTCATGCTGCTGACGAACATTTTCATATTCCTTGGAGGAGTTGAAAGGAAAGTAATTAAAGACTTCCATCTTCTATTCCAATGCTCTAACATTTTATTTAATTGTACATGAGTTGTAGGAGAAAAATCTCATTCAGAAGCTAGTATTAGAGCAACTACTTAAGTAATCCTCCTGTTACTAGTTACTATGACTTGGAGATGTAGGGATCATTCAGTCCGTAGTGAACAAGCACACACATTTAATGGTTCTTAAATAATATGGAATTAAAGCAGCAGAAGAAACGACCAGTTTGTCTGCAATTACCTTGCCTCTAAGTCCATCTGGGATCGGTGTGGAAAAAGTAATTCTTTAGCCCCTTCTGTCCATAGTTTGAGCACTACTTAGGCAGAAGTCCTCAAGCTAAGGAGCAAATAACCACAGAAAACTTCAGGAGAAAGAAAAGGAAGGAGCTGGACAGATCATCCGAGCCAGTAACAGACACAACCCTGAAGTAAACCAAGGAGAGAGACAGAATGGAACAGAACTTTGGAAAACAAACAAAACCTCCACCATACACCACAGATACCAGAGAAGTCACTATCTAGGGAATTTAACTGGAGGTGCATTCCTGAGAAGAAAGAGATGGTAAGCAATGTGGTGACCAAGAACCTCCACTTCAAGAAGGTCAGAATTTTGGGGAGAAAGTAGTTTAGGCTGAAGGAGTCATTACTAGTCAATTTTTTACATCCAATGATTGTTAAGTGCTCATGAGAAAAAAGATACTCAAGAGGACAAGAGGGAGAAGGAATAGATACATGTACATGGGGGTGCAGAGGAAGTGAAAGCTGTTGGATTTGGAGGGACTAAAGAAAGCCCCTGGTTTAGGGCATATGCCTGGATTATTCCAAGCTTTGGCACATTAACAAAAAAATAATAAATAAAGGTAGTCTGTAAGGTCTATCTGTAACAGCTAACTTTGCTGTATCTGCTACCACTTTCTCCTAGTTAGTTATTTAATTATCCCACTTGTAAACACATGATTAATCACAAATAAATCAACTTAGGCTATTAAATCCATATTCTTTCTTCATAGTATTTTTCATAAAGCCAAAAACTATTTGAAGAAAGCTGCTGTAATTCTATGATGTGGAGTACAATCAGTAGCCACCATTACAAAGTCACAGAGGTAAAGCAATTATACTTCCACTTAGCTGACAGAATAAGCTTAAAATTTAGCTCTGCTCTAAATAAGGTATTACATTTCAAGGTTAAAGCAAACGCACACACGTACAATTACATCTCAATTCTTCAGATACAAAGTACAGGCAAGTTTCCCTAGAAATTGTCACATCATGTTTTTTTTATCCCTTTAACACTTTAAGAAAACCTCACTTTCACTAGACCTCTGTATCTTGGTAACCTTTAAGCAAATAACCTTGATGCTTGTAATTATGCACTTAGCTAAAGATCTACAGAACTTCCAAAGGATTTCAGCCCTCCCAAGAGATACGTGTGCCTAAACAGCATAACAAAGCTTTTCTCAGTTGTGAATGGAAGAGGAGGAAAAGAAGAATGGACATGGCTCAGTCAAAACACATTTTCAGAATTACATGTTTTCAGGACATTTACAGCAGGAGGAACACCACCTCCTACTACTATACTACCTTAAAACATTATACCTTATGGTATACTGTACTACCTTAAGCTTAAGCTTGGAGGGGTAAGAAACCCCTTTTCTTTAAGACCCTGCAAAAGAAGTAAAAAAAAAAAAATGTAGCTCCTTAAATCTGCTCACTGATTGTAGATGACACAATCATTTGATGGAAGTCCCATTAAGGTACACACAAGAACATAAAATGCCCCCTTAAATCCTGGAATCCGAATCTTCAACGCTGTACTCCTAGGGTCCATTTTATGGAATTTAAAGCAGATGCTCAAAAGCCATATATACATAGACATATATAAAAAAGGGGTTATAATTCTCGACATACAGAAGCAGCTGGCACTGACTAGAAAAAACACTTGACAAGAAAAGTGTTCCTCAGGTGAAGAGCAGTGGTCTTCAGAATAAAAATGCAGTTCTATAGTGGTCAAACAGTAAAACAAGTTCAGCACTAGACTTCCTCTTTTCCAATAGGATCAAGAGACAATCTAGTGTCATATTTCAGTTGACTTGTTTTTAGGCTGCCTGTCTTCTCCATTTAGTAACATACTGCAGTGTTTATACATCTGCCTCCTGGCTGATTTGGAGGTTCACCTAACTATTCTGTTTTGTTACAGAGGCAATTCTAAACAGCTACGTATGTTTGGTCTACAAATTGAAACCTACCTTTTGGGGAGGATGCACAGAAGGAAGAATAAACTCCCATGCTACTCTGAACTTTGGTGAACCCAATTTTAAGACATCAATAACATTTATTCTTAGGATTAAATAGTGCTACATCAAATGACAAAGAAATATGCCCTTGTAAGAGAATGCACCACTTCTTTTAGAGAGAGCTTGGTATTTTGCAGCATAGGAGAATACCATTAGATCCATCAGAAGGATTTGACAAACCACAAAATAGCAACAATCTTGTACGCTGAAGATCACAATGTAATGTGAAATGTTGTTGCAGCCTGTAGGTCAAATATCTTCTACCTAGTAAAACAATTATGTTGATGACGCTTGATTTCAACTGTAGATTATCCACAGGCAAGTGACTTCTGGTAAACAATCTGGTACACACTACTGATTCTGTACTACAAATTGGAACTTCATGCAGGTGTCAAAACACACTGTTGTTTCTAGGATTAAACTTCTCCCAATTGAGTGTACCCACCAAAAGTATTTAATATACCCAGCAACGCAAACTACCTAGAAGACAACAGTGAAAGAGTAAGGTGTGAAGAATTCTGTCTAAATTTGCTTAAGAAACACATAACTAACAGCAATGTTCAAGTGCAGAAGTCCAATCCTAACAGCATACAGCCCACCTCCTTAGCACCTACCACCATCCATCTATTTCAACTGCCGCTCCTATATCCCTCTGTGCTGTCAGCACTGAGGTTTGAAGGCAGTGAAGGTACATCCCCTGAATCCAGTTGCTCTTCAAAACACAAAGTTCTTTGAATACCCATGTGAGGGTTTTTTTTCTGCAAAACTGCAACAAAATAACCTTACAAAAGTTTTCTGCATCCTCCACAAATATAACATGTAAGTTCTCATAAGTTCTGTATCTGTATTTCATGAATTCTATAAAGCTTGCAAACAAGGCAAACAACATATTGCTTCAATAGAATAAAATCCACGTGAGCTTTAACTTTTTATAATATTTAATCTGATTGACCACTCAACATTAAACTACAATCATCAAAGTGCTGTTCAGGAAGACTCATTTTGCTTTGTGTAAATGACCTGTCCTTGATTCTAGGCTGTTTTAAATTTGTTTAAAATTTCCATCTCTCCAAATGTCAGTATTTTTGCGATTGTTAACCTGTATTCACCATGACTTATGCCATGCACACCAAGCCTCAATTAATAAATTAAAATTATAAAACAGGAAGGCAACCTGTTAAAATAAAAAAAAAAAAACCCAAACAAAACAAAAGTTACAGCTGGAAGGAGCAAGTGGAACTGGCTAGGCACAGCTTAAATTAAGCCAGTTGCATCTGCAAGTAATAAAAGGAGTACTGCTCTTGGCCCATATTGCTGGCTTTCCCAAATAGGCAGTAACTACTTAAGTTACTTCTTAAGCAACTTCTTCAGTCCAGCTACATATGCAAGCAAACCTCTGATCAAAGTTAGACCAAGAACAGTATGTCAAGACCTGGCCTGTTTGCACCAAGCAATTGTAATGATGTTCAAGTTACTCTGGTCAAATTCATTTTAAGGACTTTTGACATATTTCTAGTATTGCAGTATTAGGAAAAATGGGTTAGGAAAGAAAAACACTGAAAAGAACATAAAAACTTACCACCCAAGGCCTTTTCCTCTCAAGCATCTCAATTAAGTCTAGATGGCGCCTGCGCTCATGGTATCTCTCAACATCTTGTTTGTATCGTTCAACCCTCTGTCTCATTTTCTCCAAAGAGTTAGTTTTGTCTCTGCACAAGTTCTGTAAGAATATACATTTTCATGTTTTACAGTATCTACTCAGTGGAAACACTTTTCAGAAATAGTCCACACCTCACCTGTACATTAAAGCAGAAATTTAATGCTAGAGAGGACATTTTAGTACAGCAGTAATTAGAGGGTAACAAGCCAACCCAACGAATAGTTGTCCAGTTTTTTCAAGTACGTTTATCACGTACTTTCCTTGAAACCAAACATAATTTAAACATAAATCTTAATCTGAAGAAAATACTTTCCTTTTTTAAAAATTTTCTCAGGAACTTCCTCCCTACAGCTCAAGCCTCTGTTAATCTAGATGTTTCTAAACCACCATAACTGGTTTTGATAAATACATGTAGCAAAAATGCTTGTGAAAGATCTTGTAGAGATTTGCAAGAGAAACTTTAAGGTTGATGCGTGAATGTAGTATGTATGATTGGAAATGCGTGTGTGCACACAAGCACAAGAAGAAAAAGCAGAACAAAGGACTAAAAGTATGGCCTATATAGCTAACGACAGGCACTGTTCCCAGAACACTGTTCCCAAGACACCACTCCAGCAGTAACAGCAAGGAACACACTACTCCTGCAAAGATCACTAAGCCTGTGCTCTGGTAAGATCATAGTACAAGTAACTGTCAGGGAAAGACCCTGCGTCCTAAAACCAGGACAGCACCAAGGTTGCAGCTTATTGCATACACTCTCCCTTTTCCTCTTTGTCTGTTAATACTCCAAACCAGGAAAAACAGACAACCATCTTGTCCATAATTTATGGAAGTTGAAGTCAGCAAGATTAAAGCAAAGGACCACCCTGTAAGAGCTGACGACTTCTGAAATGCATGAAAGATCTGTCCGGAAAAGTTGTTGCCAGTCAAGAATCCCAGAGAGGTGATGAGAACTTGACAACAGGCATCCCTTGTCCTCTGTGTCCAGACCACTTGCACATGTGTCTTCTTGCATGCGAGTGTCAGAGTGAATGAATTCTGAGAGAAGATAAGCATGATTTGGTAAAATCAACTTACCACAGACTTCATAAATAAATACCACCTTCTAATTCTGTCAGATCTCACATTAAATTTTATTACGCTAATTTCCCTACTCTCTGTCTCTATAATGCACATGTTTACCTCCAGTTCTCTTTCCTTTTCTCTGAAGTTTTTCAGTTCACAGTGAAATTGGTACATTTCTGGGGGACCAATGGATTTTTCGGTGGCTTCAAGCAACTCAATCTTACTCAGTTTTGCAAATTCTCCAACTCTGTCCTACAAAATAAGAACACAGTTACAAAAACACAGTATTAGTTAGAACAGTGCAATACAGTAGTACTGGATTTAAATACCGCAACTTACTTCTCGTGAACATCACCTGACTTGCAGTTCTAATGACAAATAGCACTGGCATAGTTAAGCATAGGATGACCATCTCAGAGTAGCAACCAAACCCTCCTAAACATTTTTAAGATTTCGTACATGGTTTTCTTGGAGGTGTTCTGGAGTGATTTAAGCTTAAACCTTAGCTGTTCTTGGCTATTTGGCAGCTTTTCAGGGTAGCTGTTGAAGACATGGGTTAGTTCATTATTTTTGAATTGGCTATCATTCTTCTGAACAGGACAGTTTAGTACAGACAATTAAAGGTTTTATTCCAGTGTATTCTTAATATTGGTTCTCAGACTGCTGAAGCTACACCTTCCCAGTATAAATGCTATAATTAACCCACAAGTTAAGCAACGTAGAAGTTAGTATTAAGGCTGGCAGGCAAGGGTATCGGGAAGCATTGCTGCTGTCCAAGGCAGAGGAACAGCTCAAGACCAAGACTGGGGTGAAAGGTGTGCTTGCCATTGCTACAGTGGCAGAGAACAAATAAACCGTAACTTTCAACACAGTAATATTCACTGAACTGACATTTATGTACCAAAGAAAAAAAGCTGGTTTAAATGCAAAAGTTATGTTGGCAGAGTATGCAGAAAGTTCTATGCTAAACAAATATTGTGAATATGTAAATGAATAAAAAAACCCCACAGTATTTGTTTCTGCAATATTAGCTTTTTAAATTTTAAAGTTTTTCAGCATGTCTTCTCCAATGCAATTCTCCTTGAACAGAACAATAAACCTACAGTTGGCTAGGCTCTGATAAGGTTTCCTTTTACTACCATCGCTGATAATCCACATGAACTTGGAAGGTCTTAGGAAGGAACATGCCATAACTTTTTTTTAAGGTGCAGTTGTGAGGCAAGTTAGTTATCTGCACAGAAATTCTGACATGCCTGAGCATGGATTCAGATATGGAAACTGCTTGCAGTATTCTTTAAGTTTCTCTCTCCTTTAGGAGCTATTTTCCATCAGGATGATTTTACTCTTACATAATTTGATCTTAAATATTTTTAAGTCCTATGCTATGCTCAAGAACAGTTGAGCCACAGATGTTACCAAAAAGACTCTAGCAGTAGCCTCTGTTGCAACTGTACAGTCATTTAGTGGGATTGCTTTGTTTTTTGGAGAAAGAAATCCAGACCATTCTTCCCCTTCACTTACCAAGTGCAGGATCCAATCCTGAGGGACTGACTGAATATAACCAGAGAAAAGCGCATGCAGGGATTGACCGGGAAAGTCAGGTATGCGGAACTACAGGAACCATGCAGGTAAAGGTACAAGAGACAGTGCTAGATCTCAAGGAGTTATAAAAATTTCCCTA